ATTAACCAAGCTGTGAGGAGAGCACGGATCTCCTGGAACCAATGGGCAGATGGGAGGAGTGAAGCACCATGGTCCCTGCTCTGCTGATGGGTTTCTGAGCATCTGGAGGATGAGGACCAGGTCCGCACGGCAGGAGTCAGCCAGGGCCCAGTGAGAAAGTGGGAGGTGCGGCTAAGTTCCTAGGCAGGCAAAGAGATGGAGGGAAGACCTAGTGGAGGATGCTGCCTACTACACACAGGACTCAAAACGATGGTCAGACACACTGACCAGCAGATAGCAGAAGCCCTGGGACTGACCCCAGGGTGCACACCAACAGGACAGAGGTCAGTCTCAGAGGAACATTCTCATGAAGACTCAGGTTATGTCCTTCACCCGGTCAACATTCTGAAGGCGTTCATTAGCGGCTGCCATGAGAACAAGTGAGACGGCTGTGGGAACAGTGTTCACCCCAGCCCTTCTGGAGCAGATCTGCATATACGTGAAAGTAGAGAAAAGGGGAACAGAAGACTGGATTGAGGAAGTGAAGAAGATTGATCAAAATGTGCAGCTGAAGCCACACCGATTTGGAGGGCAGCCTTCAAGGTAAGAGAGGTTTGGGCTGCAGGAGAGGAAAGGTGGGCCCACACATTACTGTGGGCATGCTTAATCTTGCACTGACCCCCAAACCCAGCTAGATGTGAGGCAGATGTGGTAAGACAGCTGGGTCTGAGAACAAGTTGGAACTGTCTGCAAGCTGTGGACTCAGGGATGGGCAGTGGGTCTCAAACTGCATGGACACCGTGAAAGGAAGATGGGACACAATCCAGGTATATTGTCTTTTGTTTTGTTTTGTTTTTTTTTTTTTGAAAAAAAGTGCTTAAATATTTAGAAGATTTATAGTTTATGTCTGTGCACGTTTTTGTCTGCCTATTTGTATTATACCATGTGCACCAAGTGCCCATATAGGCCGGAAAGGGCGTTGGATCCTCTGGAACTGGAGTTATAGTCAGAACTGCCATGTGGGCGTTGGGGATGAAACCCAGGTCTTCTGCAAGAACAGCGAGTGCTCTTAACTGCTGAGCCATCTCTCCAGTCCCTAGGCCTGCTCTCTACAGCTCTTCTAGTCCTCTATATGTGATAGAGAGGCCCGGGGAACATGACCAAGGATGGTGATGAGACTTCAGCCCACAGCATGTGAGGACCACCCAGAGATAAGACACTTCGTCTGCTAACCCCAAAGAAGCAGAGCTCCATCCTCAGAAACCTCAAGAGCAAGCACGTGGAAGGATTCATTCTGTGGGATCCAACAGCTCTCCCAAACAGGGTGAAAACCCACAGTACATGACCCTCACCTGATGGAAAAGAAAGTTTGTAATAGTAAAAGCAACTGTGTGCATAGGGTACCCTGGGAACTGTTACGTGCACATTCGCTCCCAACCAGCATTACTGCAACATTATTGCAGCCTATCTCTTATGAATATGTACATACCCTTGCTGCATCTGAGGTCAAACTCATCAAACTCATCTTCCTAGATCCAGCATTAGGATCCCTCACAAGCTTTGCGTTCAGGAATGGTCCTGGAATATTATGAGTTCACTTCGGCTACAATGTTGTCAAGGGTGCTCAGAGGTGATTCATGGGCTATACCTGCTAACATTCTTTCCCAGGAGCAGATCCTAAGGTCACGGAAAACTAAGGGCAGACCAGCTTCCCCTGGGGACACAGCCCTTTCTCTGTATCTTCAAGACCAACTTGGAATTTAGGTAAAACTATTTAACGATTTTTTTTTTCAGGATTCACCTGCAATGTTAACTCGGACTGATAGATAGCAAGTTTGAAGGGTAGTAATTTTTACCTCCGCTGCTTCTGCATTCCATAGAAGTGTGTTTCAAGTTTTGCGTATTCAGGAAATCTGATCCTGGCAGTGGATTCAACATCATTCCAGCTTTGAGTCGGCTCAAAACTTTGTCCTTGCCTCCTCCTTTAAAGGAAATGCCACAGCTCTGGGAGTTGACTGCCTCAAGCTGGTGTTAGCTCGGCAGGCTCAAACTACACTGCACCCTCAACCTGACTGGGGCTCACCTTGAACTAGAGACCCGGCTTGGTGAAGGCTCAAAGGTCTTGCTTGGACAAGGGGCTTCTGCAGTTACCAAGGTGGAGTCAGCGCAGCCATTGTCAGCTCTTCCTGGAATGTCCTCAGCCTGTTCCTATGTAGATCTCTCTTACTTCATAAAGATCCCAATGCCACCTCCTCCTCAGGAAGCCTGGTTCTGAGCTCTAAAAGGGACATCTCAGGACTGGGGTTATGGCTCGGTAACAGAGCATTGCGTAGCATACCCAAAGCCCTGGGTTCAATCCTTACTACTGTCACAATCAAACTGTAGAGAGGTAGATACCAGGCCCCTGTCACTCTATGTAGCCTGCGCTTAGTGTTTCTTGCCAGCATTTGGATGCAGTACCTGGTCAGTGACCTCCTTCCAGCCAGTGTCTCTCTTAGAATGTAAGCGCACGAGGCAGGGACTCGGTGTCAACCTTGCTACAGCTTTGTGTCTGAGGCCCAGACTCGTGAGCAGTGCCACGGCCCTGACAAAGGACTGTGATGTCACCCTCTTCTGAACACGGTGGTGCCCCTCCTATTTGGGAGACGCTGCCAATTTTGGAAGTTTTTTTGTTTCACCAGAAAAGAGATACATGAGGCCACCAACAAAATAAAAACATGATTATATTCCATAAAGAGAAAAAAGAAAACCCTTCAAAATGACTCACTGCCTGTTTACTGCTAGGATAGACAACTGGTTCATTTAACGCTGTCCAGTGTCTTTTTCAAAGCAGCCAGAAACGGGCTCTTATTAAAGGGGTTGTAAGAAGCTGTGTTATCTGGCATTTAACCAAACAGAGGGTTCTAAAGGGAGAATTTCTCAGATTCCACACGGACAAATCCCAAGGCTTAACTGGGATGAAGAAGCAGCTAACCACAAGCCAGGAGAAGATTGGTATTCAACAGAGAAGGTGACAGATGAACTTATCTGTTCAGGGAACTTAATTTGTCTTACTTTGTATAAGGATGGATTGGACTCAAAAGGTTCCTGTGTGCTGGGCAGCAGGGCATTTCCAGAATGTATTTTACATATTACAGACACATTCTGTAAAAATAAAGGGGTGGTGCCTTTTTCTCCTTATTCTTTCCTTACATTTTATTACGTTTATGAATTTGCTGTGTGTGTGTGTGTCCACATGGATGTGTCTTTCTGTGTGTGTGTGTGAGAGTCTGTGTGTGCGTGAGGCGCACATGCTGTGGAATTCAGATAACAACCCTCAGTAGTCAGCTCCCCCCATCCACTAGATGAGACCTGGGATGGAACACAGGTTGTCAGGCATGACAATAAATGCCTTTACCCTCCAGGCCAGGGGTTCTCAACCTGTGGGTCATGATCCCACCTTGGGAGTTGCATATCAGATATTTACAACACTATTCATAACAGTAGCAAAATTACAGTCAGGTAGTAGCAAGGAAGAAATTTTAATGTTGGGGCTGGCACAGCATGAGGAACTGTATTAAAGAGCTGCAGACTAGAAAGGCTGAGAACCGCTGCCCTAGGCCACTTCCCGAGGCCTATTTTCATTCTTTAAAAAAAAAAAAAGCGTGTGTATGCAGTCACATATACACAGTGCATGTGTGTTTAAGTGTGCATTCACACGTGTGCACACGCATGTGGAGGTCAGAGGTTAACCTCAGGCAGCATCCATCTCTTGGTTTTGAGGCAAGGTCTCTCACTGGGACCTGATTCAGTCTGGCTCCAGGGATCCTACTGTCTCTATCACCCCAGGACAGAATTGGAAATAATGTGTGACAACACCCGTTTTTTTTTGAATCAGGGTAGGGATGAACTGAGGTCCTCAGTTCATTTTGCCAACAGAGCTTATGTCTCCTCTCCTTTTGTGAGGTGTGGGGGACTGACTGCAGACAATGCCCTACCACTGAGGATCACCCCACAATCAGCGGTAAAACTCAGGTCTCCCTCTGACTTTATCTCACGTGGTCTGTCTGCAAAAGGTTCTACTTGTCAAAAGCTCACTGGCATCTCAGAGTCTTTTGTTTGACAGGAGCTTTCCTTGAGGTCTTCTTTCTATTTACCCATAATGCTTCTTAAGGCATCTAACACTTCAGAAGAACCCTGGCCTTGAGCACAGCCAGACTCAAGAGGACAAACAGCCAGGAGATAAGAGGAGAATAAGCTAAGCCCCCAAGTTTGCCAGAGCGCTGACCAATCCCAACACTGCTCCCTCTCACAGGGGAACCAAATCACGCTGTGGCGATTTCACTTCTGAGCAAGGATGCAAGAGGGGGTGAGGCTCATTTCTGAATTTCAGTGGTGCCCAGGGAGTATCAGAGAAAAATCAAAGACTTATTGAAAAGCTCAGGGGAAACAAGAATGTACTCATCAACTTAGGACAGAAACTGCCTAGAACTCTCTTCTCCACTGCAGTTTGGAGCATATCCTCTGGTGTTTCTAGAGTTCCCTTTTTCTCTACTATGTGAGACCATCGACTTCGAGCATCTCTCAATATTTATGACCAGCTGCTGTCTGCTCACATTCTTTAGTGGCAGTGATGAGTCCATCTGATATTCAAACAGAAACTTATATTTGGCTTCCATTCTGCCACATGGCACACTGAAATCCATTTTTTAACATTTAAGTCATCTTCCAAATGGGTTCAAAAGACAAGCGAAGCGGGGTGAAAAGTCACAAGTCACAGAGTGACATTTAGAAGCATAATGAGGTCCTCAGAGTTGGGTGAGGCTACGCCTTGGTCAAATCCCAGTCGCACCCCCTCTGCCCACACCACTCTGTGACCGTGGTGATTACTTTGATGTAGCGATCCCTGCCGACACCCGAATGGTCTTGAAGATGCTTCCCCTCAGCAGACAAGTGTGTTTTCACCCCGTGGTGGTCAAAGACAAAACATTCGAAACACGGCCTCGAACCAAACCTGTTTGTCTTTGTGATGGTCAACTTACTTTTTCATTCCATGCCCACAGTCCGATTCCAAGAAACGTTATTCCCAAAAACTGCAAGAGAAAGGGAAGAGATCAGGGTAAGTGTTGGGGAAAACACCACGGTTTTACTCATGAAAATCAGCTTGCTTTTCTTTTTTGTTTTTTTGTGACAGGGTTTCTTTGTGTGGCTTTGGCTGTCCTGGAACTAGTTCTGTAGACCAGACTGGCCTCAACTCACAAAGATCCACCTGCCTTTTGCCTTCTGATTGCTGGAATTAAAGGCATGCGACATCACTGTCTGGCGAAAATTAAGTTTTTAATTAATTGCTTTACTACATTACCTGATCGGGGAACACACACACAAAAAGCTTTCTTTTAAAAGCTGAGTTAACTAGGAAAAGAAATGTCATCGCCTCTTTGCTTAAAATTATTATAACAGTGAAAAGGGGTAGGGACCCACGGGTGCCTGAAAGTCATTCACATCATGAATTATAATATTCAGGTAGCATTTTGAAAGAAGTGAACATTTGTGTGAGTGTATTCAAGCATCTGAGCCATCCGTCAAACACGGACATAAAGGGCACACATTTGGAGAGACAGATCTCTGTTCAACTGGGGACACAGCACAGGAGCCCCTCCCCCGCCACGTTCTTCAACAAATGGGCACACATTTAGAGAGGCAGAAATCTCTGTCCCACTGGAGACACAGTACAGAAGCCCTACACCCCCATGATGTCCTCCAACAAATCTTTTTACTGTTCTTTCAAAGGTAGTAAGAATCATATCAAGTTCAATGTGATCCAGAGAAATCCCCAGATCTTGGGGGTCTTGTTTGTTTTGTTTTGTTTTGTTTTGTTTTTTTTTTTCAGAAACTAAAACTGTAGTTCCAAGGGCTCCAGTCCTCTTCCTGGTCTAAGCTGATCCCGTACCTCCACGGATAACTTGGCGCACGCTCACCATGCACAGTGAACTGAGGCCGGCTACCTTGCCGCTCTGCCAATCAGCCACACTGGGGGGATGCAAGGAAACGGCATGCAAGCGCCAACGGCGGAAAGGGCTGACCACTTTAATAGACTCTCACTATATCCTGCCTGCTCGGAGATACACGTCTTCCCCTTTATAGTTTGACATCCCTGAAACTGAAATGTGGTTTAAAACTCATAGTATCATCCGCCACCCGAGAGTATTTAAAATAACAGCCTGTCTTACGATCAGGGCACCAAAGATTGGGTGACAATGGTACAGGACTGCTCACCCGCTAGGAAGCCATGACCAGGAGGGAGCGCAACTGGCAACCTCACCCAACTCCTTGTCTTTAGTCTCAACAGAGACTTGCACTTTCCAAACACTGAAGTAAGTGGTGGGGGTGGGGTGGCGAGCAGTTTTGGTCTGGCGGCCGTGTAAGAACACTGTTTATTTTACTAACATCTTGATTAAGTTAAATGTCAGAAAAGCTGTCTACTGAGAGCGCGGGCAAAGAGCACAACAGTGGGGTGTGTGTGTGTGTGTGTGTGTGTGTTATTCTTCAGTTTCAGGGAAGCCTGAGAACCGTCCACCCCGGAGGACCCTGCCGTTCACAGCAGGGAGTTTGGACTGACACTAAGGCGGGAGTCAGTAAAGCCAAGTGGAGGAAGAGCGTGGGAAAAAAGAGTAATCAGTCACTCAGACGTGTAGAACTTCCCAGAGCTCAAAAAACAATACTACATTTAAATAAGATAGAGTGCAATATATCCTCAACATCACAGAGGAACTTTAATGTGTCTTCGGCAATAAATAAATAAATAATGAAAATAATTAGGTCTCTACTCCTCCTCCCGTTGCTCCGAGGGAGCTACTTTAATGCGTGCTGTCATGGTTAGCTTTCTATTCCTGTAATAAAACACCACGACCAAAAACAATTTGGGGAGCGAAGAATTTATTTAGCTTAAACTTCTACATCGCAGTCCATCACTGAAGATAGGGCGGGAACTCAAGGCAGGAGCTTGGAGGCCATGGAGGAACACTGCTTACTAGACTGTTTCTCAAGGCTTGCATATATATATACATATACATATATGTGTGTGTGTGTGTGTGTGTGTGTGTGTGTGTGTATACATACACACACACAATATCTAGGACCACCTGCCCAGGTGTGGCACCACCCACAATGATCTGGGCCCTCCCACATTAATCATTAAGGAAACGCCTCCACAGACTTGCCTACAGACCAAAAACACACAGAGAGAGGTTTTCTCCACTGAGTGTCCCCATTCCCAAAGGACTCTAGCTTGTGTCAAGCTGACATAAAACAAGCCAGCACAGGTGCTTAGGAAGATTTCTTGTTTTCAACACCCTAGGAGAAAACTATGGTCAGCCTTCCACTACCCTGGCCAATGTGCTATTTCATTTTCTGTTTCAGACCTAAGACCTGAAAAAAGTACAGGAACAAAACGACTTGGCATGTTAGTGCTGTATTAATAGGGGCCAGACAAAGTATAGTCACAACTGACAAGTGGACACAGGATTTTGTGGGACCAGGAATGCTCCAGGGGGCGGGGTTCGGGCTTTGTTTTATGCAAAGGAAATCCAATGCACCCTAGTGGGAAAGTCTGACTTTTTAAGGTTAGAGTTCTCTGTGGCAGCAATCATGGCCCAAATGCAGTGACAGCCACAGTCTCCCCATTAGCAGTGGGTGGGATAGGAAGAGGAGGTATCATGGCCAACTGCCTGTCTCCCTGCCCAGCAAGGTGGGTGCACACCACCTGTGCCAGCCACTCATTCTTTCCACGCTCACTGTGATGGAGGCAGTTTTGGCTTTGGTTTTGAGCGTCACGACAGTTTTACTCTGAAACTGGCCCTATACCGGCCCCTTTTAAGGAAAGGAGAAAACAAGTTTCGGTAAGGTTTGTAGATCACAGAGCTCCTAAGTGGAGAAACAGAGACCTGGCCAAGGGCACGCGTTCTCACCAGTCCTGATGGCTTCCCATTCTCACCTGGGACAGAAGCGATCACATTCAGGCCAGAACTTTATGAGACGAGATCAGGATGTCACCTATCGTGATGCCGGCAAGCAGAGGAGGTGCTGAAGTAAGAGACAGGCACCCACCTACAATCTCAACACGAGGAGGCGGAGGCAGGAGAACTTGAGTGTTGGCTCAACACTCAACCCAGCCTTGGGTTCAAGAGATGCCATCTCAAGCAAGAAGAAACAACATGGCTTCACAGAAGGACCGACTATCAAAGGGGCGTTCTCCATGCTGGTGTCGAGCATATAGAAAAGGGGGAGTTCAGCTGGGGGTGGGATGCAGACTCTCTACTCTTTATAGGTCTCCTTTCGCCCCTTGGCACCTGGGGGAAATGTTTTCTTTTCTTTCAAGAAATCAGAATAAAAAACTCGAAGAAATGGTTTTCCACAGAGGAGAAAGAAGAGAGAGAGAGAGAGAGAGAGAGACTCATAATTTCCTTTACAATTTTGCGTCAGTGTTTCCCGTTTGACTTGTGTCTTTCCAAAGGAGGGTTCAGAAATTTGGAAAGGGGGCAAGGTTTGAAATTAATGGGAAGTGTTCCACACCTCAGTGAGCAAACGGCACGGGGCAGGGCCTCAGCTTGCTGCATACCTCCAGGACTACATCAACACCCAATGGCCTCCCAGCTGCTCTCAGCCCATGTGTTTTGTTTTAAAATCAAGTTGTTCCAGCTCCAAATAATTAAGAGAGAAGAGCCAAACCCCAGAGACAGGCACGCAGCACTTGGAGCGGTTTTCCCCTTCCTGCTTCCCAAAGGAAAGGTGCCCAGAAACCCAACGCTGACCTCGCTCTGCAGCCTAGAAAGACCACTGCAGAGGTGCGCTGGGAACTAATGGCAACCTGTCTGAGATGCAATCAGTGTCTGCGATAAACGCCTGTCCATCACACTCTCGGAGTTGTAAAATGAGTAGTGATACTTTGGTCTAAGTTTGTTGAATGCAGCATGTGAACAAAGATACTGTTTTCATTTCTGTTTGCGGTGCTGGGGCCAACTCTGGGCCTCTTACACAGTCACGCTGGGGTCCGTCACTAAGCTATACTCTCAGCCCCAAGAAACGAGATTTTTTAATTTTCATGCACACATACAATGAATCTGTACCGTAGTCACCTCC